GGGACCGGGGCTAAAACATTTTTCACCGGGACGGGACCGGGACCGGGACCAAAAAAACTGATTTTGCAGATGTCTAATTCTAAACCATATTGAAAGAAATTTACTGACAAAACTACCATGTATTTCAAAGTTTAATTTGCTTGTCTGTCTTTTGAATAAATTTTGATAGGAACATAATAGAGACCTGCGTTTTTCACTATTCAGAAGCGAAGACTCAGAGGCCTTTGAAGTATATCGAAATTCAATTAGTGATCAATTAACCAATCAGATAAGTTCTTGTTGAAGACTTTCGAAAACGATATTCTGAAGCTATCTTCCTTCAAATTCAGGTGTTTAATAGGACTAATTGGTGGAAAATCTCTTCTCTTTCGATCTCCACAAGGCCAACACATTCCTAGCTTGTTCTGTTCGAGAGCTATAAGACTTTTCTGAGATTCCCGATTTCAGCCAATTAACTTTTGATCACATGAAAAGCAGCAATATAAAGGTAATTCACCATGATGAGTCGCATGGTGATAGTTGTTTTTAGGTTAGAAATTATCTGACTCTGCTATTGCAATATTTCTGAGATTCCACAATTAGCCTCGATGTGACTAAGGAACCAACATTTCAAGCCTAAAAACAAATATTACTTCCCAGGTCGAATTCACCCTGTCGAATCCGATAGAAATTCGCCGGAATTTGTCGGAATCCTAACCACAGGATTCCGACAAGTGGTTCTGGATGTCGGAAAGTGTCGGAGTTTCAGGGATTTCGCAGGATCCTGATTATTCCGACATCCGGAACCTCCTGTCGGAATCCTGTGGCTAGGACGCCGACAACTTCCGACGAGTTCCCGTCGGATCCGTTAAAATCCGGTAATTTTTCCGATATAATCCGATATAATCCGACGTAATCCGACAGTCGGATCGAATCACCTGGGAATTGTTGATTAATCAAAATTCGATGTACTCGAATGACTCAGGACCTTCTCTTCGTGAATGGTCAAATAACAGTAGATCTCTATGATATTTCTACCAAAAGTTTTTCAAAAAACAGTGAAGCACATTATATTTTGAAGATAGATAGATAGTAGTCATTTATTATAGTCATATAATAAATTGACATGTCTTGTTGTGTAAAAACATGTCTGTTTCTAAGAATGATTAAAATCTATATAACAGCTGAATAGCATTTTTGTGGACTAGCATAGGACATATTTTTTATGACGTACACGAATGTTAGACATTATAGGACCTATCTATACCATATTTAGCCTTAAAAAGGTTTTAATTGCAACTTCTCATTTAAGATTGCTATGATCTTGATCGATGTGAAAAGGAAGCAAAATCGAACGACTCTGCACAGGGTTTATTGTTCGGATGGAATACTATTGATAACGAAAATGAAACATCAGAAGAGATCAACTTGATTCACGATCAAGAAGACAAACCTTCAAGTCCCGAAGAATGGTTCATTTCAAGATCAGAAGAAGGTAAGATTGATATGAAAAGAGGAGAAGATCTTAATAAAGAATGCCTTCACATTTTTGCAATAGGAAATACAGATATGTGCCAATCACATGAGCTCGATTATCCGATCAATTCTACTCAATCGTTGATTGGTGTAAATCAAATCAATTTACTATCATCAAACGATGATATCAAAAGACATATATGTGATTCCGATACGTCAATTACAGAAAGTATTTCGGAAACATTATTTCTATCTGATGACAATGAATTAGATCACATTGAACATATGAATCATGAGACGCATGCAGCTATTCAAAATATTTTAGATACTGTTGTAAAACAACCTCCCAGTATTGAAGCTTTTCCAGTAGGAACATCATGTACATGTTATTATGAACAAAATTCAGATGATCTTACTTTACATCTTCCTGATCAAATAGCACAACCGACAATATCAGTGCCATTGTCACCTTCGTTACAATTCGTACATGATGTTCATCCTTATCAAAAAACACAATATGATACAGATATTTCTGATGAGTTTATAGACAAAAGTCGGTCTCCGTATGTCATGCGTATTCAAGGAGTCAAGACAACAGCAGACACAGGAAAAAGTATCTTGCCTCGGATAAAAGTAAGTATTAACGATGAAGATTTAGCTTATATATTTGTATGTTTTGTCAATCTATAATCCAACTCATAAGCTTTTGAAAGAAAAATTAGATCACTCCTGATAAATCGTTTAAGCCGTTCTTTCAAATATCTTCCAATACTACTTCATTTTACTTCAGTTATAACCTTGATTTCAAAGAGCATCTGTTATGCAACAAGAAGCGTTAGCCAATGCATTGATCGGCGACAGTTCGAATTTTTCGATGAAATTTTTAAAAACTATTGTAGCTTCGAGAAATTTTGACAATGAAAAAGAGAGACAACGACGGTAGAGGACTTAATGACAAGCAATTAGACGGTGACGTCTTTAAAAACTGATTCTGGACGTCGGAGATTTTTAAAAACCAAATATCTATTTTTGTATGCGCAGACGGCTCAGTCGATTCGCTTACACCTCTGATTGCAACACAGAAGATCTCTTGTTACCGTAGTTAATTGAAATACATCTAGAAATAAAATTATGCATCATACGTCTAACTCACATCAGATAGAAACTATCTCATTCATTTGTCATGTTTAAGCTAGGCTCTTTAAGATCCTAATGTTAACAGATTCAGTGTTTTATCTAAATTTTCTCTTCTGAATGGACGATCTAAAATTCCAGAAGAGCGAACAGCTATTTTTTGGAGCATATACACATAGCATATGGCACAATAACGACGAACTCCAGAAGAGCACTATCCCTTCAGTCCCGGGCTAAACAAAATACTGAATAGATAATATACATTAAGAAACTGTCTATAAACTCAATAAAAAACACTGTTTACTGGTCAATTTATCTTTTACTAGATACCAAAAACTTACATTTCTACACATCAACAATTAGCAAAACCTCTTTATTTAATGGTCGCTGTTGTACGAGAAGAAAAGGTCAATGATAAGCGAATTTTGTATCCATGTGAAGATATACAGTTCTTGCCTGCTGGTACGAACAAAAATACCGAAGCTGTAAATCCAATTAAACTAGACCTGAATTCATTGCCTATAGAATCTGATGGAACTTTTCGGTAAGATTTATACAATCTATACTTTTGATGCTAAGAACATAAGTTTTATTAAGGTTGTCACTACGTTTAATAAATAAGTCATTGTTATCGACGACAGACCACTCAAAAAACAAGCTATTCTATGAACTTGATGACGACATAGTTAAAACTTTACATCCTGCTCCGTATGATCCAAGATTCATTCGACTTGTGTGTACACTTGTGCAGAATGATAGGATAGCATGGAATACTCTGTGTCTGTCTGATTATATTCGTCCAAGTAAAATAATCCATATTTAACCAGAATATTATATTAATAATTGATTTATTTTAGAACAAGAGTTACCAATATGATCACTGTATCAATAGAACCAGTTGACATTGTGACTTAGTCTGAATTTTTGTGAGAAAAATTAAGTTCAATTTAATAAAACTGTTTTTCTATTTAATTTTGAACCATAGTTGTCGAAATTTTGTAGTATAGTAATATTAATATGTTTGCAAGATTGCTTATACACCAGTTAGACTTTAAAGACAATACTAAACTTGATTTAGAAATTGTTTCTAAACCGAGTGCGGCATATTTTATTGTAATTCTTTTACTTAGAATAAAATAATTGTTTTTTGAATTCAACTTCAACAACTAACAATCAAAACGTACAAACTTGTCACCTTTAAAATGATCTATGTTTTTATTCTTTTTTTTTCTATTCTCATAAAATTAGAAGCAATAAAAGTTTAATACAGTCACAGAGAGCTGAAATAAGACGAAAACAAAATCTCGCTTGTATAGAACTACATTAATATGTACTGTTCGACACTTGTAACATCATGAACCCTGTTTCAACTGATTGTATACAGTTGAATGAAAGTCCTTTAACATTATATCAAAAATGAATACAGAAAAACTACAAATATATCTTGAATTATTATTTTAATGACGTGCTCATCATTGGAAATAAAGATAAAAAATATAAACTTGTATAGTTTTATCAGCATTATCTTAACATATAGTAGGTGCTGTCAAAAAGCCAAATTGAACAATGAAAAAATATTTGATGAAAAAAATAATACAAAGAAAAAGAAAAAGAAACAAATGTTTTTATATACAGTATTATATTTATTTTGCATTGTTCTAATTACTATGATGTTATCTAGCTGTTTAGGATTAAGACTAGTTTTTCTTTTTCGTATAATTAGACCGATTCCTATGAACTGTCTCTTGACACTAACTGAAATAACAGGTATTGTATGAATAGATCAGGCTTATCAAGACAAGCGAAAGAATTCGCCTTCATATTCCTTCCAAAATAGTAAAAGATTATATTCTAGTTTTGATTTATCAACTTCTAAATAAAGATAACGATCAAGTTCGTCGGCTGTTTACTACGAAACGTTTGATCGAAATTGACTAAATAAACTTTTTTTTGGAAAATTTCTGATGTAACGGTTTGTTAATTTGTTGTCGATTTGATTCAGAGATGAGCACAGGACAGGATGAAAGTTTAAACTTTCTCCTAGTCTGTAGAGCTGGTCGCCAGAATAGCCCTCGTTCAGCTCTGGCACGAAGTATCTCTTAAAAAACTAAGCTTACTATTAATACAATTTGTTACAACATACAATCTGATATTTTCTATCAGTCTAATCGAAAAAAATAGATAACATAAATAAGTAATGATGTTGGAATTCGAATTTTTTATTGCAAGAAAAGCTTTTGACGATTTTTTTAATATGATTATTTATTATCATTAAAAATAAAACGATAGCAAAAAATAGTTTGTTCATAAGAGAAAGAAATCATTGAATAATTAACATCAATGTTGCGAAATCTATAAATCAAAAAAAAAAGAAATCATATAAAGAGAAAACAGAATGAACATATACCTTTATAATTAATATTCCCAGCTATTTCACATAAAGAAAGACATAATTAATTGAATGAAAACTATTAACTTATCTTACCAGTATTTGTTTCTACAAAGCGCAATAATTCCCTCATTTTCTCATTACTCAATTGTGTTCCAAAGATTCGTCTAAATAAAAAATAAATATTTCATATTAAATTCAAATCAATAATTTACTGTATGATTTCTTTTGAAATAAATCCATTATTATCTTTATCAAATGATTTTGCTCGTGCTATATTAATTAAATAATCTGAAAATCGATGACTATTCTGATTAAAAGGTTGAATTTTTCGTCGACGACGACAACACCAACTTGGACAAACTAAACATGTTAAAATTAAAAAAAAAACACTTAATTCCTTTTGTATCTGAAATCAAAACTAACCATCAAAGGCTAGCATTTCAGCAAGTTCACTTTCAATTAATGCAATTACAAACTGTTTTTCCATATTATCATCATCATTTTTTTGAACATCATCCTCTTCATCACTATCAAGAGATTCAATAAAATTTTTCATAATCAAAACTATGACAGAAATAAATAGCAATGAAATCTAATAAGATGAAATTAATTTTTTCACAAACTTAATACTCGATCGAGTACAGTACGGTCACCTGTTTGGTCAACTAAATCAATCGCTTCCGAAATTTCTGACCATTGTTCATTGGTTAATATATTGTTATTATTCATGAGAATGTTGATATTTGTCTTTTTTTTGATATATGTTGAAATCAATTGTTTGACAAATGTATGGCTAGTAATAATAGTTTATTTTTTTTTATATTATCCTTTTTAAAAGTGCATTTTAGATAAGAATTTTTTTTAATGATATTCGACACAAAGAACAATCTTATTCTATTTTCAAAGGATAATCGACAGTATCAATATAAACTACGTATTTTACTTAGATGATTTATGGAATATTACTTCATCTGACATTTACTACTGCGATTGAGTCGAAGCTATTTTGATGTTATGATGCAATGGCAACTACAGCATTCGAATATTACCTAACAAGAAAGGAAGGAGTAGTCGATAACTAATGAAATCAGCTCTCTACAAAAATATAATTTCTATCATGGCACACTCTCACTCAAGATGTCTCAAAGTGATCTGCGGTGCAGTTAGACTTATAATTTTTTTTTGTGTCATATCCAGATCGATTGAAATCGTCAATTCCTGTCATATATCTACTGCATCTAGTTGTTAAGGATGATGAGCTCTTCTTATCTATCAATCCGAAGATCGACCAGAATAGTATTCATATGGTTCGATAGTAATTTTCGAGCACTTCAGAGTGATATAGAAACATTGACAACATAAAGAAATCCTAAAAAGACTCTTCTCGATATATAATTGTTTTGCTTAATATTTAGTAGATTTCGATTAAAACTAATATCATATTCTGAATCAGCATCCAAAACTGAGTGAACTTCCGTGTATTTCAAAAATTTTCTCAACTTCCGTTTTTGATAGAAAAGTTCACCCTAGTCCTCCTAAAGTTTAAGTCAAAAAATAGGGTTAACTCTAAGCAAGACTATGAGTGAACTTTTCCAAGGAAAAAAAAAGTTGAAAAAATCTTTGAAATGCACGGGAGTTCACTCAGTTTTGAATGCTGATTCAGAATACTATATTGGTTTTACTCAAGTTTTATTTTTTTAATCGAAATCTACTAAATATTAGGCAAAAAAAAATCATGAAATAATCTCTCAAGGATAGACTCGTTGAAATTTCTTCATGTGGCCAGCTTTTTTTTCTCAATGTTTTTATAAAATTTTGAAGGAGTCCACAAAAGTGCTGATTATTATTAATATTTATATTCAATCTACATGTAACGGTCATTGACTATTGCAATCGAGTTATGCACAGAAATACGTGATAAAATGTAAGTGATTATTGTATTAAGTTTTTCGATTTTAAAAATACTTAAATTAAAAATAATTTATATAATATAAATGACATTTAAATAGTTTTTATGTAATCTGTTTCATAACATTTTTGTCGATCGATGGCATATATATAGCAGAAGTAGATGAACAACAATTTTTATCTTTCTTTATTATATGATCTGGTTTTCGTTTTGATGAACTAATGACATGAGCATTATCAGAAAAAGCATTGCCATCTCGAATTAGTACATCATCGTTCAGATTTGCTTGACTACATAGAGAAAGATACAATGTTTTTTGCGAAATCAAAATCATCTTACATTGATGTAGCCGATTCATGTAAGGAAATACCAGCTGTCGGTAGTGTTGAAGATTCGAATTCTTTATCATTTTGTTGTTGATCATCTAGGGGAACAACTACTCTGGAATCATTTATATCAGAAATATCTGTATAAGAAATTCATTCTATATGTATATGACATTTGATTTCGAAAGCTTACTATCTATATCCATGAATGGATCGTTTGTATCCATTGAATGTTTTTTATTATAAATATTTCGTTTCTCTTTAGATATGTTCGAATTAATATTTAGTAATGGTAATTGTTTCATGATATCTTTCGTTGTTGTTAATATTTTATTACCAAATCCTATTGGAAATAAGTGATATTGATTATCTGTATTATTCCCAAGTAATGTTGATGAAAGATAATAAGCATTAAATAATTCATTTGTATTTAATGAATATTCAAATATAATAGGTATACCAATTGGTATCTCTTGATTACCAAATTCATCTACAGTATAATTATTCAAAAGACGAATGAGTGCTTTTATTATATCTTCATGTGTAACAACAAGAATATTTTTACCAAAATATAAATTACTTAATAATTGATCATAAAAGAACGGTAAAAGTCGTTTTCGAACATCAATAAGCGTTTCTGTCGATGGAACAATCGAAGAGATATTACGATATTTATAATTCAATCTAGGATGTAATGTATTCGATTCTTCAAGTAATGGAGGTGCCGATTCAGATCGTGTGAGCCATTCTTTGATTTGATTTTGACCAAATAAAGATTCAGCTCTATCACGATGAAAACCAGTCAGACTACCTAACATACGATCATTAAGTCGCCATATATTATTTACAGGTAACCATAAATAATCCATTTCTTCTTGAATAATAAACAAAGATTTAATAGCACGTTTAAGGACACTTGTAAAACATATATCAATGGAAAAATTTGCTTGATGAAGTGCTTGACCTGTCTGATGCATTTGTTGTTGACCAATATTTGATATATCACAATCATTCCATCCAGAAAAACGTTTATCAACTTCATCTTGACTCATTCCATGACGTACAAGAATAAGTAAACAATGACGTTCATGATCATTATATTGTATATCCGATTGAATAAGAGATTTTTTTACTCGTGAACATTTTGTACGTTTATTTATACAACAACGACATTGACAAATAGCACATTTAGCACAATCAGATGAATGTTTGACTATACTGGTTGTCATGAAAGAAAAACAAACTGAATTATATCGTTGTCAAGACTTACTTAAATCATTTTGTATGTCAGTAAAAACGATTTTTAAGTTAAGTTGCTTGATTTTTAATGGTTTTTTTTCGATTTATTAATAACATTAGTGAAGTAAACAATAGAAACAAATCGAAACCGACATTTTTGTTCGATTGTTAGCTTGATGAATTAGAAATTTACGAAAATATCTATTGAATACATTTTTCTTACTTTTTATAATTGAACAATATCTTCGTCTACTTGAGCAATATGACTGTTTTTCATACGGTTAAATAAGTTCTGAGCAGTTTCAAAGAACTATTCTATGATTACTGTATATATATACTTCATTTAATGAGTACTTTGTCTTAATTCATGTTGATTATTGATCAAAGTCTCTGATTAAAAATTGTGTTTTAAATCAAAAGTATCTGATGAAAAGCATAGAAAAATATAGATTTTTTATTGAAAAAATGTCATCACAAAATCAAATGAAACAAAACAACAACGAACAAGAACACGACAAATAAAATTTGTTAGCTCGGGATTTTATTGTTAACCTGGAGTCTGCTATTGGAATAACAGTGTATCAACTATACACTAAATGATAAACAAAGTAACTGATATATGGATCATTATCAGGTCATCATTTTAGTTCTAATGATCATTTTGTATATCAGAGACACAATTTAAATGTTCCACTTGATCAAGTTTAAAACAACTACACATAAAATGAGGGTGTATTTTGAAAAAAAGCCTATTGGCAGGTTGCTATCTTGTTTCCAAATAATATTTCTATATCTTGTGTGAAAAAGTGTCCGTGTTGCATAAGTAGGTTCTTCTCTTGTTCATTATGCTTATTTTTGGTGAAGTTTTAGTGATAGTTATTGAAGTATAATAAGCGATCAATAGAATTCGGACAAAACATGGCAGCAATAAAATAAGAATATAAAATAAATATTATACTTGATATTATAAAGAGTGGACTTGAAAAGAGACTATATATATATGTATATGACCTGGATACTTTGTCGATCACGATACGCTCACGTGTAGGAACTAACTTGTGCTGACAGAACGAAAGAATTTAGATTTAGTTGCATTTTTCTTTTACTATTGTCATTATAGACAGACAAATGTAATAGTAAACGACATATAATCACGTCATATCATAGTTGCACTTGTGTTTGTCTTGTACTAGCTAGGCTTTTTCCTGTTCTACCATTGAAATGTTGTGTATACCTTTTTTTTATGTCATGGATGAAAATACGTTTATTCAGAATTACATATAGCCAACGGTCGCTCTATGACACGCTGCAATTACGAAGAATACCAACCATGAGTTTGAAAATCTTCCTTTGCATGTTGAACCGGAACTAAATAATTTTAAGAGGATAATCATTACTAATTCGATAAATAATAAAATTATTGTTACTACATGACATCCAATCATAACCTGTCTTTCTTTCAATTTAATAGTAGGATTCCATGCATACAAACCAAGGAAATATGTTTAATCCAACAGCTACATTAGTAAGAATATTCAAGTGCAACTGAAATACAAACAAAATTGTAACCTTGCAAATGATCTGTACGATTTCCTCTCATAATAACCCAAGATCTTCTCCAGGTTTTTCATTAGACGAACAGTTTTATTCTGTTGACAACGATATATTTTTATACCGGGGAGCACTATGAATGCTTTCCTTATTCAAATGAAAACATGTTATAGCTACTGATGCCAGCAATGGGTAGATTTTCATCATTTTCGATACAATACAAGAATTATGCAGAAGAATATTTAACTTTTAATAAGTACATGACGAGTATTATTTGAAAATAAAAGTATTTCGGTTCCTTATACTGCTCAAGGTTTGTCTGATGATGATGAGTATAAAGTGGTTCAAAGTATTTGATCTTCAATCATATGATCTGATTTTGCTAACATTCTAATCTGATATTCGTAATTCAACCAACAGATCTTACAGTACTACAATTATTATTTTGTCAATGAAAGATTTGTCTTAGTTTATCAAGCGACAACTTTCGATTTTATGTCAATGATACTGTCAAAGCTGCTCGATGTTTGTTACTGATCTAACTCTTACTGGGTTATTAGAGACAGATCATCTTACATATGATAAAATTATCAATTAATACGCATCATCATCAAGTCAACAGCCGATGTATGGTTCTGAGCGTACGATGCACCAATTTTGTAGTATTCATAGCACATGTATATCTATCCAGGTAATAACTATTGTTTCATTTTTTTTTTCAATACTAGTTGCTGTTTGTATTTCTAATATAGAAATAATTAAATTCCAAAGAAGAACCATTTACTCTTCAAAGCAAGTAAAACTGCATTGAAGTTGGCGATGATTGTTCATAGTTTCAGATAGAGAACCTTTAATCTATTTCTTTTCTATAATGTGCCCAACAACAATGCTGCAACAATGAAGAATATTTTGTTCCATCATATAGACAATGTGGTAGATAGATTATATAAGGTTTGATCTTTGTAACATGTCGATATGTAATCATTCAGTTTTTTAGTATGATATTGTTATTATGGACGAAGATTTGCAGGACTCGATTGACACAATTGTAAAACTCAGTTTATATATAGTTGTAGTAGTAGAACCAGTATGCACTAGAATTAAAGAACATTCATTCTTTTTCAACAGAATACACAAGTTTTCATTGATTCACGATGGTGGATCTCTTTCAGTGCCATCCTCTATTGTATACCAATATCGACCATCAATCAAAATCTCTACTTTAGAATACAAACCACTGAACAGAAAATGAGTTCTACATAATCAGAAAGAGACGCTTAAACAGGTGAAAAGTTTAGTTACTTCTCGGAAACCATGATTATATACATTGTTATTTGTATACATTACTTTCTGGAACAAGAATTATTTCAATAGTAATCGTCAGAATACGAAATTATAGCTCTCTCTGGTAGAGATCGATGAATTCCTTACACTTGTCGAAGATCATGTAGCCAACAACGAATTTGTAAGTATCTAAATTCAATTTAAGATTTATTTTACATAAACTTAATCTTTCTTGTCATTAAGATAGCTATTCAAGTTTAGCATAGTCGGTCGCACGCCAAAGAAAACTCTTCAACAATAGATTGATTGGGCGTCTGAATTATGCAATAACATATGTCGGAAGCTAAGAACCTCATACTTGTTCGAAATTGGTCGGCTTGAATAATTGTTTTTCGTAAAACCTAGCTATTCAATTTCTATCTAAGGAAGTTTTACCTTGATGATGTGAATGTACTATCGGAAATGTTTCATTGAAGTTACTGTGGCCGCATCAAATTCATCACCGTGTTCACGTTAAAAATTTGTAATATCGTATACTCTTCCCTCAATTTTAAAAAAATTTAGATTATTTACAATTTAAGTGACGTTTTGAATTTCGAAGAAAACGTTTTCAGACTCACAACAAATTTTTACAAATAAAATAATTATGTATACAAAAATAGTACGGATCTTGTATTTCTGTTTTAGTATGAGTTGATTTTTCATCACTATCATCATTCATTGATTCCTCATGTTATTTCATACGATTTGTAATTTCAACTTTTGTCTAACCGATATATGTTTTTCCATATAATCACAAAGTACTCGACAAATAATAAAATTCTATGTGTTTTCATCAATCGATCAAAATAATATTATAATTTCTATGGACATGAAAAATAATCTTTCATGTTTGATATCTTTCCTAATCTTCTTTTTAATATTTCTAACTCTGAATGATAAGATATACATACACTGTATTCAATGACTTGTTTTTTATTACCTTGTTATAGTGTGTTATTATTGTTCGAGTCTGAATTGATATCGTCACAAACTTAATTACCTAATCACGCAATGATATTTTGATGGGTACTTATAGAATTTAATAACATCTTCTTCAATTTCAATAAGTTCTTTTGTTACGCATTTGTATCTTTGGTCGTTTGTAAAATTCCTGTAAACATGTTTTTAACAATATTTGATGATATTGACTCTCCATACTATAATTCATAATTTAGTAAAGGATTGAATGCTAGTTTTATTCTCTAAACCAAATTATTTTGTTTTTGCACAATTGACATTATCAAGTCTTGCTATTGTCGTGCCAAGGATATTAATTTCAGCATCTTTTTATATACATAGGTAAAATGTATTGATCCAGAACTTTTATTCAATTCTTTTTCATTTATTTTTGTAATTATCAAGCTATCATCAATGTATCGTCCAATTTTGTTATTTATATTGACTTGATCTGAATGTTCTGTTAAATAAGAATCCATTCAAAATTCTTCTAAAATCACCGAAAGTTTGTTTTCCATCGATAAGCTTTTCTTTTATTTGTAATACTTTCTATTGAATTGATAATAGCTGCTTTTTTTTAACGAAAGAGTTAAAAAGTATTTAGTGTCTGTTTTGATGACCAGTGAATTTTCTAATTTTTGGATTTGATAAGTGTTTTAATTATGTTTAAAAATAAGAGAATAATTGATGCCGTTTTAATCATTTTTATTCAGATGTTTCATTGTAGACACACAACATAACCAGGTTTTCTTCTACTCTTGCATTTCCATGATGTGTACTTTTAGCTTTTCATTTGTCTATTTATTTCTTTTCAGGACTGATGATGTTGTGTGTCTACAACGCAACGTTTGAATAAAAATAATTAAAACGATTACAATTATTCTCGTATTTTTAGTTATATGTTTTCACTGAATAAATGAACAAAAATCTTTTATTTTTTAATTTCTATTGCTTCTGTAATTGGAATGTTGGCGTATGAGTCTTGAATGTCGAAACTGAACAATCGTTCATTTTGACCAATATTTAAGGATTGACAGTTCTCGCCCTAGTCGACGATCTTGACTTCGTTCTTTCCAGATTCTTGTTTTTCTTGATTATCAGACAAGATTCTTTTTAATCATAATATTCAGCTAAGAATCCTTTCGAGAAGAATGAAAAAAGATTCTTACCAGAAGTTCAAGATGAAAAGGATCTTGTCTGATTACTCAGAAGTAAAAGAACCAGACAAGAATTATAAGACATTCAAGATTTTTTAAAGTTCAGACAAGAATATTTTTCCTTTCCTCTCAAAAATAATCTTGACTAGAGTTCAAGATGACAAGAATCTTGTCTAATTAATCAGGAAAACAAGAGTCTGGAAAGAACCACAAGATATTAAAAATTTCTTGTAGTTCAGACAAGCTTCTTTTTTCTTCTTTTACATGATTTATATCTGACTGTCAAGATCAATATAGCACGTGATCTGTTCGTTCAAATACATATATAAATATAGACGTATAACCGTTACTTATTCATTTATAATTACAGTAATATTTCAAGATAGTCGATCATTTTGAAAAGACATCTATCAATTATCTTTTTCTATTAGACGTAAAGGGGAGACAATCATTTTGTTTTCAAAGAATTGTATTTGTCACCAACATTTATTTTTCGTTTGTAGAATTTTTTTTCTGATGGAGATCAACTCAGAAGATCCAAATAATTTGTTTTTCAGTCATACTGTTGCTGATTTAGGTAGTATTGATCGGTATCTCTAATATTCTTTTTTTTTGAGTCACATATTTTTTTAGAGCCATCACCGCATACAGTAAGGCAAAGACGATGGAGACAACATCGAAAACACAAGCTCAACTCCACTCACCTACGTTTACCTCTTTCAACTGTAGAACGAGTTGTAAATAATTTATTTTAACTGCATTATTTTAAGGTAAAATCTTTATATTTTTCCATGTGTCTTTAGATTGAAAAAGATTTGTATTTATCATCTCGTCATGAAAATTTTGAAGATAATTCAATTATTGAAAATAATAATTATGAAAATACTTTAATTACTGATGATGATAATTATGAAGACAATTTAATCGATGATGATAACTATAATCTTGATGTAAATCTAGATGATGATGACGACGACGAACTTTGAAATGAGGCTTTTTGCTGCTAGTTTTTCATTCATTTTTGTTTGACTTTCTTCTCTATATATGAAATCCATGTATAATTTTTTACTTGTTGTGTACTTTTGTGATATTTTATTTGAAACATATCATAATACATATAATAGTAATGAAAGAAGAAAATTATATTGATATAAAGAAAGGGCTCATTGGCATCACAAGAATCAACCAGGAACTTCAAGAAAAAGATTCAGGCAAGAGTTGTAAGAAAAATAGAATCAGACAAGAAGTCAAGAAAATAAAGAATCAGTCAAGAATACAAGGACACAAGAATCTTGTCTTATCAGACAAGATTCTGTCTACAAGAATATCACCAGAAGGTCCAGATCTTTTTTCAGGCAAGAATCTTGTATAGAATTACGGCAAAAAAAATCTTGCCTGATAACCAAGAAAATCAAGAATCTGGAAAGACGAGAGGCAAAATCGTCGACTAGTGCGCATAAAACCAAATGTACGGCGTACCATGACCTTAAATGTTGTCCTTAATTCTTTGATAAAATTAGATACAAACTGACACATTGATGATATAATTGTATCTTGTGAGCATATAACAACCTAGTGAAAAATATTTCTAAAAATAACGGAAGAGAACGCATTCATAAAAATGTAGAGACTTGTCTGTTACATGAAGAATGTGTTCTACAGCTTAGCGAACGTTTTCACAAATAAAAAGAAAAGTTCTGAGTCTAAAGGAACTCATTCTTTACTGTTCCACACTAGTATGGAATGCTTTCTTCTCAGTTCAAAAATCGTTCTCCATCTGAATAGAAAGCGTTCTGAACCGTTCCATGAGCCAATAGAACGTGTCTCTGTCCATTCTATTTCGAAACAGTTAAGATAGGATTCCATCGAAATGAAACCGCTTTGTTTTAACATTCTCTTGAGAAACACCTCAGAATGGATTCTTTTGACTAATGAACGCTTTCATCTGAATTTAATGTCACTTTTGGTTCAAAAATGATAGCTCTGAAGTACGACACCCTGAAACTAGTGCCAAAAATGATGGAACCTTCAATTAGTCATACTTTACAACTGGTAGTCCTAATTCCAAAAATTTTTTTTTTAATAACAGTTTGAGCTACAAAAAATCAAAGCACGCCATTGGATAGAGCTCGTCGAGTTACACCAGAATCGATCTTTCAAAAAATTATGTCTGAACTTCTATTCGAGAACTCTTATCGTGAATCTAAATTCAGACAATAACGACCAAGAATGCGTTTCAAAAAAAAGTTAGCTTTTCTTAAGAAAAGAAAGCGTTCCAAAAAAGTTGGAACAGTTAAGAACACATTCCAAAAAACATGGAATGTGTTCTTAATGGTTCCATTTTGGAACGCTTTCTACTTTTATTGAAACGTCTTCTTTTCTTAAAAAAAGGGCTTTTAATTTTACGGAACGCGTTCTTTCCCGTTCTTTGAAGCAAATATTTTTCACTGGGGAGTCTTAGTGCTGAATCGGTTTCATGTAATTTTTGATGACCATAAGCTTTCGATATATTATCAATAGTTAGTTAATAATATTTAGTATTCGATGTTATTTTTCAGTTATTAGCTAATTTGGTGACTTTTCTCGGTGATTGTTTTCTTTAGTTGCAGCTGTTAGATTTTTTCTTGACGTTTTCTTAAGCATTCTTATTATTTAACTCTTCCTAGATCTGGGTAATATAATCTAGTTTACTCGTAATTAAGGCCTTTCTACTATTATCTACTTAAACAACAGCAATGTCTTCAAATGACTTGGTTTCAACTAATATTTTTATTTCTTCTGTATTCATGTTGCACCTTTGTGGTTTTCTCCATCTTTGTATAAATGTAGACATTTCAAATATATTTTTAATAATTATCGGTGTTAAATATAATGATTTTTCACAATTGACTATGTTGTTTATTTTGTCGGACTAGATTTAAAAGTTGAAACGAATTTCAAGCTTTTGGACAATATTTGTAAATGTTGTTGGAGTTAATTTTATTTTTGACATGTTCAATGCATCTGCTGTACTATATTTAATTTGTGACTTGATTCTCATTGTTTGTATTTTTGCTTGTAATGATTCATTTAGTTTGTTTTTTTGTTCAATATTTTTTATTTATTCAACTATATTTGAATTAGATCAACTTCCAATTTTCCATCGTACCTATTTACCACTGTGAGTGCTATAGATATTCCTTTAATATTTGATTATTTGTAAGTACTGATTCACGATTAAATCTTGAGTTTTGGCTTTAATAATAACATATTTTAATTCTTTTTTTAACCTATAGTGTATTATTTCTGATTTTCTGCAGTTGGTCTTGGTAATTCTTGATTTTGTTTAGTTTGTTGTATCCTTGAATTGAAATCCATTTATAATTATGTTGTGTTGTATATATTATTGAAGAAATTGAAACTGTTATTGTAATTTTGTACTGTTCTTGTTTAAGTTCGTCAAGTTTTATGCAGTAGCATACATTATCTCTTTCTGGAGGTTTTTAATCGCAGTGTTGACACGAAAGTTTCTGATAAGTTTGACATGTTGTATATTCTTTCACAAATTTAATTAAAATCTTGATTATTTGCAATTTAAGTAACGTTTCATCTTTCGAAGAAGACTTTTTCAAATTCACATAAAATTTTTACAAGTAAATTAATTATATGTACAAAAACAGAACAGGCTATGTATTTCTTTCTTAGCCTAATTTGATAGTGATACGAAAAAGAAGCTGGTAATAGTACTTACTAAACAGATTAAATCCTCTTCCATATCAATACTATATGAGACTGAAAAACAAAGTCAAAGTCTATTTTGTTTTTTTATGTGACTATAATTAATTTATCTTTAATAATTTTATATGAGCTTAAGAAAGTGTTTTTTTCGTAGACGAAATGTCACTTGAATGGTAAATAATTAGAATTTTAATGAAGTTTGTGAAAGTATATAAAATACGTCAAACTAATCAACAACTTTCATATCAAAACCAAAACGATTTCTGTCATGTTAGCGGTGACAGATACGTAGTTGCTATATGCTATCAAAAAAATTCGTCAAATTAACATCTGATTATAGTTAACTCCGCCATTTAAATGACTTGATAGATAAGAAAGACGATGACGATAAACACTAGTCATTGTTATGTAGATAAAGCTGGCAGCAGATTGGCCTTATTGCGGAAAGTACTTGTCTAAAGACATGTGCCAAAAAAAGATATTGCTTGTTTCAAATGAAGTACTAGACATGTTACAAATTACATAACTTTCTAAAAATACCTATTGTGGGAAACAGCTGAAAAAATTCGAAAAACTACTTGTCAAACACTTTTTAGTAAAAATAAAATGCAGTATTCTCGCCAAATATTCACTCTGACAGTTGTGTCAGGCAGAAGTCATCGTAATCTTTTAATTGATAGCGAATTCAATCTAACTGACAATCGAGATGGACTCCTACATGGTTATTCATGGACAGTATCGGTATTTTCTGTTCTTTTTTTTAGTAATCATAGCTGTTTCAATTGTCTGTAATGAATTTTGTGAAATATCTGAATAACAAGATTAGATGCAGTATTGGATTGCCTTTTTAGTGTTATGAGTTGTAGTTCCGATGATTAAGTTAAAATAGTGATTAATGTGCGGAAAATGTGAAGTAGTGGTGAAAACTACATTGGGAAAACTGTAGAAGCTCGAGAAAACTAAACTTGATATTGATGAGATCATAAGCCAATGATGGGAGCACTGTCGAGACAAACTAAGCGATTTAAAAGACCACTGACGATGTAAGACGGAATATTGTGAGGTTGTCAGTGAATTAAAAGGGTAGTTTTGCGAAACGACTTAGGAATTCATGCAGAAAATGGCAAAACTCATTTCTAGATCCATTTAACACTGGAAAAATAGCCATTGACATTTTTACGCAAACTCCTTTATGGCAATAGAGTTAATGCAATATGGATTTGATTCCATATTAACTTAAGCAGTTTATTTAGGAAAATTCATCTTTTTTTTTTTATTATAGTATCTAAACAATCACGCCTACGCAAAGAAAAAAGCGGCGAGAAAAAAAACATACGGAGAAGAGAGAGAGAAAGAAAAACAACGAAAAGAAGAAGGAATACAACTGATGGGTCTCCTGCAACCTGAAATTAGATTAATATCAAATCAAGAGGATGTCATACGTTCTCTTTTCCAACTATCCAATAACAAACAAAAACTAGCACTAGATAGAATATCAGAATATTAATGATTTCTACAGCGAAGAAAACATTTAGCTTAGATATGTACAAAACAATGAAACGGCTGGTCCAGAGAAAAAAAGAAGGCGAAGAACAGAAAAACAAAACAAAACAAAACAAAAAAGGCATGTGCCGCAAACCCAATACACACACATACATTTGGAAACATAAAGAATATGAATGCATCTTGTTAGAGTATTTTCAAATAGGTATAAATCTCAATGACAATTGCTTTCATCAGGACTCACAATAGTAAAGATCTTATGATTTAATAGCTTTAGTAAAAAGGAATGGATTGATGTGTAAAATCAGGAGAGGTCTATCTTTTTAAACTATAACGGAAAACTTACTGCGAGAGACGCTTCATACTTGTGTAAGAATTTCATCACTAAGTTATAAAAAGCATCACACCTAGTCATTACACACAATTACTTAATAACCAAAGTTCGAGATTTTTGAAGATACTAATTTTACCTTGTAATTACCATCAACTATTCTAGTGACACTACGCAAGTACATTGCTTCATGTCGAAGAAAAAACAAATTTTCTATGGTTGTGACAGAATATGCCTTACTCTAATCTTGTTGACCACTTAGACACCTCTAACAATATGTTTGTCAATATTTGACATTGTGAAATTATTTTTGTTGCCTAGAAACTCTAATCAATATTGCTTGACAAAAATTACGCTTTCAAAGAGCATAACATGTTCCAATGCATTATTTGTTTTGTTTCGTTGGTACGATAATAGCAAGACGTGTTGATTTATTAAAAACGTAATATCAATAACAGTTGAAGCAATAATTTAGATTTGTAATCATGATCAATACATTTTTTTTTCTCGAATTCTGTCTAGTATGAATAAATTTAATAGTTACATATGCTCTTTTACTAGAGTTCGTGATTTTCGTTACTTTTATGTGAAACCAATTTCAGATTAAGATAACGTACTCTTCATTATCATACAGTCATATTTGACATTAAAATTTTATTATTATATGATCATCGAAAATAAAAATAAAAGAATTGTATAGACAAAAACTATGCACTATCTTTAATTACAAATATAAAGGCAGACAGAAAAAAGAAACCAGTACTTGATAGCAAATTATACGTTGTTTTTATCACAGAATAATTTAATGTAAAAAAAACACAAAACAACTTTATTAATTAGTCCATGGACGGCGGAATAGATTGAGTGTTTTGACGAAGCAGCACTGCATCGTAAGAAGATAAATCAAACTCATCTTGTTCATGTGGTTTTATCTAGATATAATACAAAGAGAAAAACTATGCAATAATATTTATTTTAATAAATACATACAATCCATAAACCGAATCCACTTTTTTGAAAGGCTTTATTGATCTATAAAAAGAAAATAATGAAAAATAATAATATTCAAAAAAAAAAGATACATACCTCCATTTTAGCTGTTTGATAATTGACTTCTAATTGTTTAGCATCACAATAGATAGTTGATATTGTGTCTGATTTAATTTGTTTCATTAATGTTAACCATTGTTGAAACAACGCTGCTTTTGATATAACAGATGATTCACCTAATTGATTTTGTTATAGATAAGTATTTTCAGAAAATAAAAAATACTGTAAACATACGAGAAGTTGTTAGACCATTTAAAGTATCAACAATTTCACATTTTTGATCAACACAATTCCATATAAAAGCATGATTCGGTGCTCGAGAAGTAGTTCTCATTTCTGGGCTACTAACACCAGATATGAACGGCCGACGTAAACCATACGGAGCTGGAATGTTTTTAACTGACTAGAAATATGAAAAATATTTTCGAGAGACTAATAAAAAAAAAGAAAACAAAGTTCTCTCGCTCGTAAGTTTTCAACTATCGTTTTTAATCTTTTCTCAAAAATTCAATTTCTCTAGATTAAATTCTTACATGTTCAATACGAGCAAATAATGCTCTTCGAATATGTTCACTATGATAAAGACTTCCAATAATAATGCTTGCATAATAAATTGGCTCAATCAATACACTTAATAAGGCACCTATCATCGAAAGAAAAATTATCAAATTCCAATTATTTTTTTTTTCTTTACCTTGTAAACCAATAAAATTCCATCGACATAATTTATCTGAACAAGACATTGTCAAAAGTCTTTCACCGCCCAATATTCCATCCCATGTTTGCATACTTTGATATAAAGTTCTCGCCATAACAGGTATAGTTCCTTCACCTGCTTCAATTTTTGTTCTTAATAAACCACGAGATTTTCTTAATGAATGTCTAAATTAAAATCAATCATATTTGATAAAAATCATTTTCATAAAAAAAAAATCTACCCTATTTGTTTATTATTTGGATCTTGATTTACTGTTGTCGACGAAGATTGTTCAGATGAAGATTCTTGTGGTGCGAAAAGACGACCATCACCACAAGGTGATGTAGAAATATATAGATGAAAAGCAATTGATGATTTAAGTCGAAATCGATCACTATCTGGGATTTTTTCAAAAATTGATTCATGATTGGTTTCCTCGATTAATAATTTTAATTGTTGATAACAATAACGAATAAGACAACGACGTGCTATTATTTCAGCATGACAATCATTCAATGATTGACCATTAAGTGTAAGACGATCACCACTAATACATTTTGTTCCTGTTGTTATACAAATAACTTCCATTGTTTCAAGATCATAATTACGTGTTTGAACGACACCAGCTAAAACTTTACGTCGTTGAAGACGTACATCATTATGAGTTAATTGATTAAATTTTTCTTGTATACATGATGCAATACGATCGGCAAGATCACGACGTGAATAAGATAGATCAGTTGGAAGAGTATCACTTTCTATTGGAATACCACCTGCAAAGAAAGATTCGTACTTGATTATTTAATTATTGAGTTCTTTTTCACATTTTAAACAGAAGAGTAAGATCAATCATTTCAAATATTTCTTTATGTAGAATCAAGTTTATTATATACGTAATTATATTTATATAAAAAGATTGACTTTCTTTTTTTTTTGTGAAACATAATCTACAAGGAGTGTTGAAATATAGGGATAAAATTTGGATTCCTTTCAGTTATAGACCAAAGATCAGAAAAATAATCTCACGCTCTTCGCCATTCCATAGTTTAGGACTTCCTGAAAGAACATAGAAGAAATTAATCAATCCTGGCCAAACACTTTTACAAAGCAAAATAGGAAAGAGGCGTGTGACGCGTTCATGTATGAGTAATAATGTGGGGTAGGGCACAATTATCTTGTGAGTCTCTACCATAGACTGTATATCAATAATGTCCTTTTATAATACAGGATCTATTTCATTATTGCATTTCTGAAGAGTTAACTAGAAGGATGGTAAAGGACTTTGGATTCCAAAATAAATAGAATAGAACGATTTCTCTGTGATCAGCAAGAGTAGTTATATCGTGTTTCACATTTTCATCCCTTAGGGAATGCGCTAATAGCTTTTTTTGTTAAGATGACAAGTTTTGATGAAAACATATGTTTAAATATTTGAAAAACTTAATGGATAATATAACAAATCAAACTGTTCTTTTCATTGACATTGATTAGGAATATATATATATTACACTACAGCTTCGAAAATATCAATCAAAAATTTATTTTAAATTTCTAGAACATAATTAATCCTAATAAAAAATTTTGAATTTGAAATATCACATATTTAAATGTCTTTTTTCCTCTTCATTTATGAATCTTATTTGTTTTTAACGTGAAACCTTTCAAACACAATGGTATTAAATAGAAAGAACGGAAAAACTTCATGATCTTCACTAACACTGGAAATGCATTAGATAAAAGATATGATAAGCCTTTATGGAATAAAGACATGCATATATGTATATATATACAAACTTCTGAAAGTTTATCTCAGAACAAAATGTGATTATGTTGAACTAACTATAATGTCGATTACATATGAAAGGTCAATGCGGATGTAATCATAAATTATAAAAGAAATTAATTAAACACAAGAGATTGATATTACTTTGACATTAATCAATTGATGCATATTTGATTTCTTACCTTCTTTATCAAAACACATACCAAATAATTTTTCTAATGCAAGTTGTGCAGCTCTTGTTTTAGCTATTTTTTTGTTACGTCCGATACCAATGAAACGTTGTCCATCAACAATAACAGCAAATTTAAATTCGCGTTGTTCATTTATTGTTGTTGATAATGATGATGTTTCATCGGTTATGGCTTCAAATTGTGCATCACGTTTTAGTTGATTAAGAAGATAAAGTGGACTTAAACCACTTTGAATTTCACGCGGTTCTACAACATTAGGACTTTGTGTAGCTCGTTGACTACTATCATTATTTTCACTCAATAATGAAGAATTATCATTTGTTACATTATTATCAGTATTAATTGTTGCTGTTGTTGTTGTTGCTTCAGATTCACTAGCTACATCCTCAGGTAGTTGAAATGGTAAATCAGAAAATGAACGAAGAGCTTTTTCAGCAGCTAATTTTAAACAGAAAAAATTCAGATAATTAAATTTTATTCAATTAATTTAATAGAATTCATATTTACCGGCTTGTTTTGCTTCTTTTTTTGTTTGAGCCATGCCTTCAAATACTTGTCCATTAACTTCAACAGCCATTGTAAATATTGGTCGATGAGATGGACCTGTTTGTGCAACAAGTTTATATTCAACAGAAGGTTTAAGTTCATGTAATAGCATAAGTGCATTCTTTGATGATGGTGATGAACCATCGCCATTATTGTTACTGTTGTTATTATTATTATTATTATTATTATTTGTTGATGATTGATTCGCCGAAAATGAAGAAGAATGTGCTGGTGATAGTTTAGATCGTTTTTTAGGCCAAACTGATTGTTGCGTGTCGTGAAGATCATCGCGCATTCTCTTATACCCATGAGATAGAGTCGGCAATGCTTGTTGAAGTGCATTGTGTTCAACTGAAAGCACGCATGATGATGTATCAATTATCAATTTGTTGAAATATATGTAAAAGAAACCCGTTGTATGAATGAACTTGTCAAAAACTTATCTTCTTATTCTATCTATCATGTAAAAGTGCTTCAATTATTATTTACTCATTTCAACATATTATGAAATTACGCGTACTATATTCAATATCGAAAAATTCGAAGCGACAAGAATTGGACAGATTGCATGATTCTTCTGTTAACTTGTCAATATTCATTATTGTATTGAAAAAAACCGCTTTAAGGCACGTTGTGTAAAACACTTAGCTTTTCCATATTCAAATCGACCATGATCATGAGTAGGAAAGGAAAGAAGCAAAGAGAAAAGGAAACTTACACTTCGTAGTTGCGCACAAGTTGAATGGGTTGCTTAAGAGTGTAGTATTATATAGAGGAATTGTTGATGATGGAAAATCTGTGGGTACGGGTCCTAACAGAGTTGTTGTGGCTGCAGTAGTAGTACCAGTTGAAGTTGACAAAGGCATATAAACAACACGTCCAAGTGGAAACATATGCATTTTTGATAGGGACGATCGATGATGTTGATTGAATGTGCCACTGTGTATAGTGTTGTGTGAAAAGCGATAATGTATAGCGTATCGTGTAGATAAGCAAAAATCCGTTTTATTACTGTTCTTTCTCTAGTCGTCGACTGCCTTCGGCGAGTGTCAAACATAGAGAAAGAGAAAGAGAGAGAGAGAGAGAGAAGGGGGAGAACGAGCGAAACTTTTCTCCTTTGCTCTTTCTTTTGCTCTCTATCTCACTAACAATTTAATATCTGTCTGTTTGTACTTTTTTTTCTTTCTTGTCTCATGAAAAAAAAGGCAATGAAGTAGACACGAGCTGGAAAAAAATGACATTGATCATCATCTTCCTATATTGTATTGACACCGATTGAAGCCAAGCGTATATGACATAGTAAACATCATTGTCTTTTGAAAAATCTTGTTAATCAGAAAGAATGAATTGTAGGCCAGCGGGAGATGAATTTCATGTCTTTCCTTTTCCAACTCATCGAATCTGTCAAGCGTGCCTGTCTCTATCGTTGTATTTTCTATATGATTGATAATCGCTGTTCGTGTGTTCTATAAAAGAGATATGTCTTTCCTCTTTTACTGTCTCTCTCATTTTCCTTGCAATCGGAAATCGAATGACAAACAGTGAAGAATAATGAGATGGTTGTGCTTGTAACAGATGCCGCTGTTCCGGCAATATACTGAAATTGATACTTTTTTTCTCTGATTCTTATTGCATGATTTCTGTTGTGCATAGCAAAAGGACCCTGATCCATTTCTTCATAATCTACTTATCATCATTAAGTGACTGACATTTGTGTATATAGAAATAGTCGATTTTTTTGTATCCACGAAGGACTCTGTCTCTTTTCAGCACGCAATATTTTCTATCTAAGATGCATACTAATCAGAATAGAAATCAACCACAATATTCTTTTTTTTTTTGAGTTTTTCAGTTTTCTGTCTGTTTGTTTGAATAAGAAAGAACGACAAGTAGAAGCAAACAAATAACGATGAGAAAGAGAAGCTTGACCAACAGCAAATAACTTGTTGATATAGGCTATACTGTTTACTTTACTAAATTACGGCTTGTCGTCTTTTTTTCTGTTTTACTAGTTAGTGTCATAAGGTTTCTTTATTTCTCTTTCTTTTCCTCTTGCTCAGTCTCTCTCTCTCTGCTATTCATTTTTCATTTGAATCTCAAAACTTTTCTTTTTTTTCTCTCTCTCTTTTTATTTTACTAAGCAAAAGATGTTTGCACTACTGCACAAAATTATGTTGGGCACTCGAGTATGTAAAGTGAACGAGCTTGCAAGAATTTTAAAAGAATAACAAACTCAACAATGATGATGACCGACTATCAAGTGGATGAATTAGTTTATTCACACCGAACTTCGTCAATTCTAAGGAAGGCATATGACTGGGAGTAAAAGAATATTGTTTGCTTACTTCGGTTGTTATTGACATTAACAATTGGTGTTGACGTTAGAACAGAGAAATCGGAAAAGAGTTCTTCAGTACCATTATTTTCCTTTTTGGAAGTGTCATTCTGAACATTATCGGAAAAACTAATCATGATTAATTAATCTAAAACATATTGAAAATAATGGTATCATTCACATTTTTCTCGTTAATATTATTTTCTATCATTTATGACATTAGCTACAATAAATACGAATAAATAACGGCCAAGATTATGTCAACAACAATAAGTAAAGCGAATTCACACCTCATTTGCTCGTTTACTTCTGTATCTTTTCTCCTTATGTATATCTCAAGAGGCAACACATGTGGCTCACAAAACAGTTGGACATAGTATACACAAACATCACGTAATTGTTTAGAATACCATACAGCTGTTAGTAATCTCATTGTCAGCTGTCAACTTTTGCATTTCTATAATTACATGAAAAAAAAAAGAAGCTATTAGACCTTTTTATTTTTATTTTCGTTCTTAGTACACTGCGACTGCACAACGAAATAAGTGAGATATAATGTTCACATATTACAAGAGAAAAACATCAAAAGTTATATTTAAAGAATATGTTTAAATTTAAATAGTTTGATTCGCAGATTATAAATAAATAAATAAAAACCATATGGAATATGGATTAACGTAACAAAATTGATTTCATATCTTTATTCTTTTTGTTCACATTATCATTAAGTACATCGATTTTTGTACCAAGACGTTCTGTTAAAGGTTTTTGACTTTCAAGTTCTGCGTTCATTTCTAAAGCAAGTAATTTAAGACGATTAACACCTTGATGTATATCATCTAAAATTTATCAATTAACATATAAGATTTATTTATAAATATAAATAAATAGATAAAAAAAAAAACTTACGAAGTCCATCTTCAGTTTCACGTTCCATATCATCCATATTACTACGTGGCTTTCCAAAATAAGTATCAGTATCATGGTTGAGATTTGTTGGTCGTGTTGTTACAGCCGTTGCTGCAGCTTGCTGTACTGTGGCTGTTTTCTTTTTGGCTGAATTACTTAATTGTGGTTGGGACGCGGATTTTGGAAATGAACTTTTTGGTGGATGAAATATATTTTTAATACCACCAAATATTGAATTTAGTTTATTCAAATTTTGCTGGGCATTAACAAGATTCGCATCAATACCATCACAACGTCTTTCAATATTTTCTAACTTTTCTCGTTGTTCAACTAATTCCTTGAAAAAGAAAAGCAAGATAAATATATTTAGAAAATGCATTTGAAAGAATCTATCTGGAATTATTTAGAGAGTTAAACGACATATTGCTAATGTAGGTAGAAAAAGCAATTACGTTATAATAAATTCATGATAACGAGGAAGAGTGGTAAAATACTTTATGAAAATGAAATATCATTTCAAGGAAAATACGCACATTTAAATAGTCATACTAAAATAGTAATGTATGACAATCATATTTAGCATATTGTGGACGGTAACCATCCATCTATGAATATGCTTCTGATTAGTTTTTGAAAACATTCATCCTGAATTTTTTTTCTGTAAAATGTTTTTTTCCTTTAGGTCTTTGTATTCTTTAGCTAGACAAAAGAAAGATTTCTTTTGAAA